ATGTTATGAAGAGCCAGGATATCTGTTCTTGAGGGTCACTTCACACACACTCTTTCTCCCCACCCCTACCCCCATGAAATGATAGCACACCCATGCAGAAGGGAGCTGCAGTCCATCCATTTGTAACATTTGCTGTGGCAAAGTTTGTAAATTGGTGCCACAGGAGACTGATAATAGAAAACAAACTTTTATTTAACTCTGTACAGCTTTAATTGTAACTGATCTACAACTGACTTAGGTTTCCGTGTTCTGCTAGGGTTCCCCAGAACTGTTTTCCTTCGTCCAGCACTCCCTAGAGATTTTTAAAAGGAGGCTAAATAAAGACAGTAGAAACCCAAGTGTTCCTATTTAGCCTCCTTTTAAAAATGAAATATTTGTCTCTGTTCCTAATAATAGCTTTTCTTCTTCTGATCCTTGGTGTAGCGCTAGGCCTCTCAGGGCCCAAAAGCTGCTCGGAAACGAGTCTCACTGTCACCATGACCTGCAGCAGTTCCTTCTGTTCTCTCTTGAGATTAGTCTAGCTTGTTTGTATCTTTTGACAGACATGTCTACATTTTTTCCATTGTTTCAGTCATCACTGGCTCAAGGCTTTGAATGCTTCGCAGATCTCTTCTGTTCCTCTTGTAGACAGCCACATTATTCCCTTTGAACTAAATTGTTCTATATGTGCACTATATAGAGCATCAGCACTGAAAACTCTTAGCCTGGCCTTAGGATTAGTGGTGTTAAGACTAGTGGTCATCTTAAGATTCTTGGACAAGTTATGCAAGCATTTTCTGAAAATTTCCTCCAATGATTTCTGTTGTGCTTCTACAGTTATGGGTTTTTTCCACGGATGTATGAGTCAGATCTTATGCATCTCAACATCATCACCCATGTTTCTTTCTCTAGTTAACTGTGTTAATAGATGTCAACTGTGCAAGATTAGATGCTACTGTGTTGTTGCTGAAAAGGTCAACTGTTGCCTATGTTTCCGAAGCACTGTCAACAGATCCGTGATCAAATAGAAAACATCTGCATCGCCTTTTACTAAATTGGCTCTTTCAAATTTAAATCATTTATGGCCACTGTACCTGAGATAGCTTGCACACCAAAAGCTGCTACCTAAAATTGCTGCTGAACTGCCTGGTCTTGATATCAGTAAACTGGGATGATTCCAGATTGGTATTTAATTTCCAAACAGGTTGCTGGCAGTAGGTTTCTTCATTTTTTTTCCTTAATGGGTTTTCCATGGATAGGCTAAATCCTGATTGGGGGGGGGCAGGCAAGGGAATATGGGCTGGCATTTTGATACCAACAATGTTTTATACATATTGCCAAACAAAGTGGGGGGGGGATCATGCATGAGAAGCACTGATCCCACAGTAAATACCCATTGGGAAACACCCACAGATAAATGGGAAACACCCATTTATCAGTTACGTGCAGTCTTTCCCTTAGATATGCTACTAATCTGATTTGCAAGAACTAATGAGATTTTTTAAAAAAAATGTTATTGCATTAACCAGGCATGCCCCTGTGTACAATTTAAAATAAACCAGTTTGTGATCAATTATGAGAAGATCCACATACAATTTGTCTTCCACAACTGAAGAATTCACTTGACTGATGAAGAAAACATGTGAGTATTCACCTGCTTCTGCCAGTTTATATATTTGTCTTGAGATTTGACCCTCCCTAGCTTTAAACATTATAGTTTTATACATTTTAGCAACATGTGCCATATTTTTCTGCTTTCTTTCCCATGGAGGAAAGTGAGGGATAACTGTAATAAATAAATAAATACTATTTCCCTCCTTTCTCATATTCTGGGCAGGAATTTATGCAATGGTTTTTGCCGCACCTGCTGTAAGTTTTTGCCACTTCTGCAAGTGACACTTCCTTCTGTTTAGAGCATTTGCCAGTGTCGGGGGGTTGCTTTTGTCCGAGGCTGCCTGTCTTAAGAGTTCTTTGCATCCAGTTTTGTTTTGTCCCTGCTATTCTAAGCCCTTTCGATTGCTTTGTAGCTACTTCCTGTGCCCTACATATATTCACTGCATGCAGGTTAACCTGGATCTCAGTCTGTCTGACTTTATACCGCCCACACATGCAGTCTTTTAAACAGCTTCAAATCAGTTACAGGTGGGTCAGTGCTCTTCACTCTGGTGAATAATTTATGCCTTTCATACATAAGATTTCTTCTAGGAGCACAATACGTTTCAGATCTATCAATCAAAAGTTGATACCCACATTGTTATCAAAATGAAACGTATTAATCCTCTCCTTGGCTTCAGCTGGACCTAGGTAGACTTGACATCAAACACATAAGCTCATTTAATGTTAAAGAAAAACTTACAAAATAGAAGCTATGCTATTTTGGACTCCAATCAGGATCAGGACCACAGCACACAAAGTGGTGAACCATTTCCTCTGGTGTCACAATCCCACAGAAAGTGCTTTCCTGCAAGCAGATACTGTATTTAACCTGAAAGGATGAATTCACATCATTTGAGGGGGACAGAAATTTTTGACTGTGACCATCATACGTGTAGAGTAAAACCACTTTCTCCATGTGTCATAGTCTTGATCCCCACACCCTCCAATTATTTTGGAAGGCTTTAAAAAATAAATAAATGTTAAAGTGCATTTTTGCTTTGTTTTCCACCATATAAACCAGGGGTGAGGAACCTCTGGTCCATGGGCCTGATGTAAGCCACAGGGCTTCTTCATCTGGCTCACCTTTTCTCCAGGTGTCCCTGCATCTAAGTCTCAGCCCCTCCTGAAGTCCTCCTCCAATGGCCCATGGTCCCCTTTCACTCTGCAGCAGTTAGAACCACAAGCTTTGGTGCCTGTTACAAGTTTCCACTTGAGCTGCTTCCTCTCACGGCTCCGCTCACTTCCTCCCCACTTCTGATGGGGTGATCAGAGTGCAGCCTTGCCTCTTCATGGCTCCCCTGCAGCTCAGCTCTTTGGACAAATGGGGTCAAAGGAGGACCTATGAGCAGACAACCCTACTGCGACCCTCAGGCTGGAAATGCTTCCCCATTTCTGACATACAGTTTTGTTCCAAGTCATCGCACCAACGGAAACTTCTTACCTTCCTTATCTGCTCCACTTGCAGGGCAGCACAACTTACTTCCCCTTTCTTCAGTGCTCAGCAGCAATTTGTTTGCACACCAACCTTTTTGGAAGTTTTTAACTGCCCCATCTTTACATTCACTTTCATGTTCTCTCCTGACACAGTGTTGTATTAGCTTACTCAAACTTTGTAAAGCAATGCCACAGGTGAACTGAAGCACAGAGCAAATTTTATTTAACGTTGTGCAATTTGTCCCTGACACATGTGCCTACGCGGTGCATATGTGATGGCAAAAGTGCACTGTAATGTGCAAAGTTAGTCCTCCTGACTGAGACGGTGTGGATGTGAATGGAATACACTGACCCAAGCGATTACACCAGAGTCATCTTATCAAAGTCTGTCTCAGTTCAAGGCATCCATGGGGAAAAGCTCAAAACTGGGGAGAAGGGAGGGGAAAATATCAAGCACAATATTTCCACAATGACTTCAGAGTTATACTCAAGCTGCTTAAATTCTCCTTTTGTTGCGCACAGGGGCTTTCCAAAGAACTGCCTGCCAGTGAGCATATAGTTCACAGAGAAAATCAAACACTCTGAGAAGCTTTTGTACAAGATGTCATCAGGGAGGAAAAGAGCAGTGGAATAAGGCTCAGTTCAGACATAACAGGAAACCGTGGTTTCTCGTTTTGAGAATTAGGTTCAGAATACTTTGCGCTTGCATATCCCATATTCCTCTGTTCTCCTGTATTGCCCCACTTTTGATATCAAACTAAACAAAGTTTCTCACAGTATCTGAACTCAGGAAACTGTGGTTTGTTTAAACTATGGTTTGGGAATAAGCCAAGAACTACAGTTTGACCTTGGTTTGGTTCTCGAATTGTTAAACAAACCACTGCTCCCCAAATTTTGACATCACAGAGGACAGTGCATGAAAGAAGAGAAGAAGAGAGTGGGAGTGTGAACATGAAGGATTTATATATTTATATTTATTTATTTATAAAACAGAGTGTCTTCGTGCAGTCTGTTGCATGAAGTGGGAGGAGGCAGGGCAGGAGAGCTGGTAGAAACCCCATCCTTGCAGAAAATTGGGGGATATTTAACAATTTGCTGGCCTCCACTCCAGGCCACAAAACCAGCTCACATGAGGGGTGGAGATGGCTACTCCCCTCATACTACAGGAAACATCCCTGTCAGCAGCATACACAAGCACTAGCTCTGAGCTCAGAGAGACCAGGGGAATTGGGTTGGTTAATCAAACTAGTCTTCTGCTGGCTTGGCACTATTTAAACTGAGCATTATGATGGTGGTGGTAGTGGATATTTACACCCCACCTTTTTTTCCTCATGGGACTCAGCATCTTCCAGCACTGGCTGGTAAACTGAATAAGCCAGTGATTATGTAGAATAATCACAGAGAAAACAAGACAATAGATTTATTGATCAGCGTAAATAACAGCAAGGTTGCCAGCTCCATTTTCTTCCCCAGTGATTCTCAAGAAGCTGCAATTCAGCCCCTCAACCCCCAGAGAGCAACATTGCTTCACTGCTGATTACCTTTTGGCTAATATGCTACACATAATGGTGATGCTTACACTGTGGCATCATGAAATCACAATCACAATATGTGCTGCCACTGGCCTGTAACCATAACCTGAAAAAAGAGCCAAAGAGTAGAAAAATCTAGAAAAGTGATAAAGTCAACAAGGGGCTTGAAGGCAGCTATTCCTCTTATGACAGCTTTCTTCCATCTCAGTTGTTGTATTCAGCCCCTCCATTCTGTCTGTTCCAATAATCTAGCTGTATATCAGTTTGAGTGCATGAAACCTCACAGGAAAATCTTGTCCATATTAGTTTCCAGCCTATGGCAAGGCAACGACACGTGACATGATGCATCCGCCAACACTTACAGGTTATTGACATACCACTGACCATGAATGATATTCTTCAGGGTTCCTGGTATGACAAAACCTGAATTGACTGAAGCATGTGAATAGCAGCAGGTGCAACTTCGGTGTAGTCAAAGCAGTTGGGAATCAAAGGGGAAAGGATGTCATAGACATAGACTGAAACAATCAGTACACAGGTCTGATGATGATTGTGTGAATAAGCTCTCAACTCATGCACTTTCAACAGGATCTGGAGTCTAAAAATGAAATTAAAATGAGAAAAATATGAAGAGACCTTTAAAGACTGGGACTGCAGTCCCAAGTGCATTTATTTGAATAAATGTTCCATGCAATTTATTCCCAAGTACATATTTAGGATAGATTTGTGTTGCTACATACATGGTGGCTTGAATTTTCACAGATAGTATTTTACTGAATCAGATGCTAGCTGTGAATATATAGCTATGGCCATCCATAGTTAAGCAGATTATTGGCTAATGGCCCAGAATGACCAGTGTGTGTTTTCTCAATAGCCAGGGGAAAGCTGGGCAGAACACTAGAAAGCTTCTGGGATGCCCCTCTAGGGAATCTGATGTATGTAGTGGATTTGCTGCCTTGTAGGAGTGCTGTGCTGATTGCCTTCACCTATGCTCAAACACATATATTTCTAAATATATGCAAATATTACAGCAGTCACGAAATTAAAAGACGCCTGCTGCTTGGGAGAAAGGTGATGGCAAACCTAGACAGCATCTTAAAAAGCAGAGACATCACCTTGCCAACAAAGATCCATATAGTTAAAGCCATGGTTTTCCCAGTAGTGATGTATGGAAGTGAGAGCTGGACCATAAAGATCGTGAAGCTGAGGCTCCAATACTTTGGCCACCTCATGAGAAGAGAAGACTCCCTGGAAAAGACCCTGATGTTGGGAAAGATTGAGGGCACAAGGAGAAGGGGACGACAGAGGACGAGATGGTTGGACAGTGTTCTCGAAGCTACAAACATGAGTTTGACTAAACTGCAGGAGGCAGTGGAAGACAGGAGTGCCTGGCGTGCTCTGGTCCATGGGGTCACGAAGAGTCGGACACGACTAAACAACATTAGCTAAAAATGCCGTAGGCTTCCAGCAGTGTCTCCTACACAGGAAACCAAGCCAGGGTGAGCACAGCCCCTGGAACTTGCAGTCTGGGGAATGCATAACACTATATTAGTTACCCTCTTTTCTTGCGCCTTTAACACCTGCATGGTGAGTGGAAATGGAACTGCAGTGATGAGAAAGGTATCACTCTTCAGTTTCTGCTTGTCAAGCTGCTATTGAACATATAGGTAGTTTATGAGGGTAGCAACCTGTATGGATATCTTCGTCTATGGACACTGATAAGATCTAATGAGCCCGTTTATTGCTGAGAACTAAAGGTAAAATGAATGCAAAAACATACACAAATCTTGATAGATGGGATACACAGTCTAAACAACATTTCCGACAAGTGGGAGGTGATTTATTTTTTTTAATAGTGAAAGATTTAACAATAATCCTTATATAAACTTTTAACTATCTTTTTTAAAAGTAATGTATCTACCTGAGTTCTGAGACTGTGCAGGAATAATGAAGTGTGATTGAGTCTGTCTGAATGGTCAAGATTGATTCAGGAACTAACTGAGTAGGAAGGCTTGCACTTAGCACCCATTATAACCATTTAAGGATGTGGATTGCAAGTCAAGCTATTGTGCCCCACCATCATGTTAAGAAAAGAAAGTGGATGGCCTCCATTTCACATCTACATTCTTGCAGCACAACTTCATCAACCAGCTAAAGCGTTTTTGCTCAGCATGCAATAAATTGCATCATTATTGGCTTCTATAAGTGGTATGAGGCAGGAGGATGGGGAAATTACCTTATAGATTAGGATAAGAACAGATAAAACTGCATGTCTGCAGCTTATTCCTCAAAGTGCCGGTCTTTCATGCTTAAAATTCTACAAAGCATTTAAATAATGCTGCATGCTGCTTGTAGCGTAAGGGTAATTGAGTTGAAAAGATATTGTTAATCCCAATTAGGGCCTATGAATAGCTTGTGAGCGGATTGGAGATCTGCAATAAACACGGGAGCTTCATGGGGGTTTTTAAAGCCCGCAATTTGTTTCCAATATAGATGAAACAGAAACAACTAAATATCTATGCAAATAAGGGTGCACATTCATTTTGTATTAGCACTTGCTGCCTTCTCAACATAATGATAAAGCAAATCCCGAATCAGTTGTTTGCTTCTGCACTACTGCCCATCTTTTTAAATTGGCATGGATTGTCTTGTGGGCTCAGCTGCCTAACAGGCAAAGATTTGGACATTAACTTGTCTAAACAAACCTTTTCTGCTTTGATAGATGCACATTATATAACCATAGGTCAGACTTCACATGAAGAACAAATTAGCAGATCACCTGCATCTTTTCACAGCATCCTCTACTTCCTCGTTCATTCATTTTATTCTTCACTGTCCACAAGGAGTCTAAAAGTAACTTACCCCCACCTCCCAACTGCCAATACTTAATACATAAAAAACCCAGAACACCACAACTGAAAGTGATTAAGCCACAAAACAAATACCCCTCCCCAACATCAGCATGTTCACAAAATATTTACCTAGGCAAAGAAAGAAATACAGCAAGGGATTAACATTCAAATTCTGGGAGAAAAAGAAACAACTGGGATTGGTGCCAAGAAGATGTCAGTATTGGTACCAGGCAACCTTCTCTGGGAAGAGCATCCCATAAAGTTATGTATGTGTTAACACTGAAAAGGTCTATCCTGTTCTGCCATGCTCCAGACTGTTGTCAGAGGGGGCACACAAAGATGGGCCTAATCCTAACCTCGTCTAAAGACAGAGTTCAAGGGTGGACCCAGGTGTACAGAGCAAAGGGGACAGTGTCACAGCCCCTCTCTCCACCAAGTTCTCAGTTAAGATTTCTAGGCATGCAAAACCAGGCATTTGATCAAAAGCAAGGTGCCAGGTAGCTTTTGTGCCTAATTTAAGGAGCTCATGCTAGTGATTAAAGCCAGGCACGTCCAACAGGTACATCCAAACAGGCACGTCAAAAAAACAGGGCTTTCCTTACTAAAAAAAAGCTTAACAACTTTGACCTGAACCACAAAAAAGGGGTGACCACTTGACCACTGCCAGTTTTTAACTCTGTGAGTAGATCACTGATGAAAGCTATGAACAACTTAGAACCAAAATATCTGAGGGACTGCCTCCTTCCCTACAGACCACCTCAGGTATTAAGATTAGCGGGGGGAGATCTCTTGTTAGTTCTTCAGCCCTTAGAAGTTTGAGGTGGCAGCAGTGCATCAGAGCACTTTCTGTAGCGGCCCCTAATTTGTGAAATTCTCTTCCCACCAGAGGTATGTCCGGCAGCTTTCTGGGAATGCTGAAGACACACCTCTTTACCCCAGCCTTTCACACCTAAGATGTGTTTTTAGGACATCCCCTCCACAATTCCAGTGACTGTAATTTGTTTTAACTGTTTTTAATACTGAATTTTAAATTGTTGTAAGCTTCACTAGGATCTGCTGGTTAAGAGCAGGTATTTTTAAAAACAAACAATATATTATTAGCATTGCTCATGATGGTATTGTTGGCTTTTTGCAGTATGGTAGCGCTGCAGAGAGCTTGCTGGGGAGACCATGCATTAAAAAGGGACTCAAAAATAACTTAAACAAGGTTTTAATAAGAAAACAAAAACTCCTTTTACACTAAATACATTAACAAACAAACGTGACCCAACCACCAACCCATCCCCCAGGGTAATGGGAGAGCTAGGTGCTGCTCCTTATATACTACACCCAATTGCCAACACAGCTTAATCAGTACAACTCGGCAGCACCTGCTATGTTTCACAGCTGTAACGCTGGGTCTTGTTATCTTGCTCTGGCCCTTGCTTTGGCCCCTTAAAGACATACACATCGAGTGGAACAATGATGAACCTTTACATATTAAACCATTCAACATTTCCCCTGCGGTTCATCATTGTGGAACAAAAACATAAAGCATACTTTGTACATGTTTTTCATGTATACCTTTTGGAAGTGCTTTAGTAAAAATGTCTGCAATTTGATTGTCACCTGGAACATATTTAAATACAACCATTTCATCAGCAATTAGTTTCTTTACAAACTGTAAACGTAATCTTAAGACTTTAGTGCGCTGCGTATTGGTTTCTGAACATAGGATAGCGAGTCCACTCTGGGAATCAAGGTAAACTTTTACTGGTAGTGTTACTTGCATCTGTAGGTCTGCGAATACTTGCAGATACCATTCCACATCACGAGTGGCCTGAACACATGCACATAATTCACTCTCTGTTGTGGAGAGACAAATAATGGTTTGTGTCTGGGACTTCCATTCAAATGGACAACCATTATAACAAAACACCATACCAGACACACCCCTGCAATTATTTTGTTCCACTGCATGAGATGCATCACAGAAAATTTCAAAACCTTTGTCAATACTTGTTGTAAACTGCAACCTATAATGTTTAGTATGTTTAAGGTACATTACCACTCTCTTAAGAGCAGAGAAACATTGCGTAGTGGGCTTTTCCACAAATTGATGCATCTTTTAACAAAAGTTTAACTGTTTCATATTTTACACTTGGTGAATAACACAAATCATAATCTTCGCCTGGAATTTGTTGAAAACCCCTAGCAACTAATCTAGCCTTGTACCTTACAACTTCATTTTTGTCATTCATTTTAACTCTATAAACCCATTTTGAATCAATAAGTCTCATATCTGGGGTTTGTGGTACAAGAGACCAAGTGTTATGCTCTTTTAAAGAAGCTATTTCAGAGTTCATAGCTTTATACCAATTTACAGCTTGGTGCTTAGGTAAATTCTGAACATCATTGTAGCTTTTTGGCTCAAAAACTGCCTTATTGGCATACACAGTATTAAAATGTTCATCTGCAAAACGTTGTGGCTTCTGTCTCTTTCTATCTGAACGTCTCAGTCCGGAAGGAGAGTCAGACTCCTCAGACTTAATGGGACTATGTAAACTACTAGTTTCAGGTTGTAAATCATCATTGTCAGACTGAAGAGATGCCTGTTGGCTAAGCTCACGGTCAGAAAACTCAAGAGAATCTAACCTCCCCTCGGGTGCCTGTGACTTTAAATCATCAAAGAAATTATCAGATTCAACAGGCTTTTTGTCTTCTTCCATTAATTCAGAAGCACCATTTCCTGCTGCTGCTGCTGCTTCTTCTACCTCTTCTTCCTCAGTATTATCTATACCATTACTATCTTGGAAAACAGCAACACCATTCCAATTTACAGTTTGTATCATGCTTCTGGTAATATGAAATTTGCCAGTTGCTGGTATGTAAATTCTGTACGCCCCTGCTGGTAGCCCATTAATTTTCCCTGGACACTACGTTCACCCAATTTCTGCTTAGCGGGATAATGCATTATTACATCTGAACCCCAAATGCGTAGGTGTTTCAGATTAGGGCGTTTTTAAACAGCTTCTCATAGGGGGTGACATCTAAACCAGAATGATAACTGCGATTTCTAACATAACAAAAGGCATTGAGCGCTTCAGCCCAAAAGTCTTTGGGCAGATTAGCATCATGCAGATAAGTTTTAACCCCTGCCTGCAGGTCACGCTGCACAACTTCAACAAGCCCATTTTGCCAGGGACTTCGGGGCAAGATAACTCATGAGTAGTCCCCTGCGCTTCCAGGAATTTCTCAAAATCCTCAGAAACAAATTCCCGCCCCTGTCAGAAAAAAGGTTCTTAATAGGTTTGTTAAAATGTGTTTTTACCCAGTTGCAAAAACTTTGTACTTCTCAAATGCTTGGGACTTCTCAGCTATTGCATAAGTCCAACAATATCTACTATACTGGTCTATCAGGGTAAGCCAGTACTTAGAACCTCCTAAGGATGGTGGGAGTGGCCCAACTAAATCACAATGTACACGCTCAAATGGCTCAGTTACTTTCCTATCTGAGCACCTACCCTTGCGTGCAACCTTAATCTTATTCTTGCAACAGGATAGACATTGCATAAAGAATTTACATGGTTTTAAGTTGAGGCCATTAACAATATTCTTGGTCTTAATTACATCAGCAAAATTCAGATGTCCCAGAATTCTGTGCGCCTCATGGACACACCCAGAATGTGGCCTTACATTCCTCAACCCCTGGCTTGACTGTGCTGCTCTGCAATTTATAGGCGATTGGGAGTAGGTGCGAAAATACAGTCTATATAAACCATCAGATTCCCGGGCATACAATAGACGTTTGTTCCCTCGAAAAACTCACACATTGACTTTAAGAAACGCACAGTTATGCCTTGACGAGCAAAACACCTTACTGACAATAAATTGTCCACTGATGGGCAGTAAATGCAGTTCGCTATAGTAATGTTTAAAGAGTCAAGTTTAACAGTACCCCTGCCAAGCGACTGCAAGACTTGTGAATTGGCTAAATGTACATTACCAATTTCCTCTTCGAAAGAAATAAACAAGCTTCGATCGTTGCAAACGTGCTGAGATGCTCCTGAGTCCACAATAAAAGAATTCCACTTGGCACCTTTAATTCTTTTACGATCTCTTGTGCTAGCGTGAAAAGCTCGCGGCTCGTTTCTGTCTTTACGGTACGATGCCGGCTGCTGAGCTGACGACCGTGACTGATGAACAGAAACAGACTTGGGAGTACTTTGCTTTCTTTTGGATCTGCAGTCCTTTGCAAAATGTCCTTGCTTATTGCAGAACCAACAACGCTTTGCAGCTTTAAATGCAGTTGTATCACCACAAGTTTGCATATGGCGTTCCTCATTCTTTCTGGAAATAGGAGTGCTTATGGCACAAGCCTCCCTTCTGTCCAACTCGCCCATTAATCTTGCCGTCACCCCTTCCACAGTTAATTGCGCTGGTGGAACGGCAGATATCTGGCTAGCTATACCATCAAAGTCCTCGTTAAGGGAACAAAGAATGATAAAAACATACTGAGTATCAGGTATCTCCATGTCCCTTTGAATTAATTCGCCGCGTATTGCCTCCAGACGTCTCAAGTGTGCTGCCAAATCACCACCAGGCTGCAACTTCGTCTGGTACAACTGCTTGAAAAACGTCAATGCAGACGCTGACTCTTTTCTAACATGCACTGCTGCAAGACTGTCCCACATTTCTTTGGCAGTTTTCTTATTTCTTATATAGACTACTTGCTGGTCGCTGACTGCCAAATTAATTATCGCCCTGGCTTTTGCATCTCCTTTTGACCAAGCATTAGTTACAGGGTCAGGAGGGTCATCAGTTACTTAGGTCCATACTTCTCTAGAGGTCAAAAGCGCCTCCACCCGAAAAGACCATAAACTATAGTTCTCATCTGTCAGCTGTGGGAAGACCAGAGCCTTCTCAGCTTCAGGAACCCGGTCAACCATTCTGGAACTCTTCCAGACCCACAGAACTACGCTAACAGGAGAAGGAGTTTTCAAACCTTTCTCAGAGTCCAAAAATATGCAGTCATCCACTCAGCTGCTGGGCCCATAACCAAAGGTGTTGACTTTTTGCAGTATGGTAGCGCTGCAGAGAGCTTGCTGGGGAGACCATGCATTAAAAAGGGACTCAAAAATAACTTAAACAAGGTTTTAATAAGAAAAACAAAAACTCCTTTTACACTAAATACATTAACAAACAAACGTGACCCAACCACCAACCCATCCCCCAGGGTAATGGGAGAGCTAGGTGCTGCTCCTTATACACTACACCCAATTGCCAACACAGCTTAATCAGTACAACTCGGCAGCACCTGCTATGTTTCACAGCTGTAACGCTGGGTCTTGTTATCTTGCTCTGGCCCTTGCTTTGGCCCCTTAAAGACATACACATCGAGTGGAACAATGATGAACCTTTACATATTAAACCATTCAACAGGTATTGGAGTGGTCATGCATAATCCCACTTTCAATACTGTTAGCACCTGCAGAAGTTTTGCAGTGGTCACAATGCTTAATTTTCAGTGCATATCTTGTAACTTCATGCTGATATCCAGTAACTTTTTTTACCACATAAGGTCTGCTTAATTTTTGTCCCACTTTTATTGCATTATAGCCACTCCAGACAGCAGTAATGTGGTAGCATTGGGGAAGCATTGCAGAACTACTAATAAAGCAAAATAAACCCACCATGATGTTATTTCATCATGAACATGTTGCAGAATGCACCCACAATAAAATACCAGTCTAGTCGGGCCCTAAACTGACAAACCGAACTTGCCTCACGTTCTTTACTCCAGCTTAATACCTTCTGTCTGAGTTGTGTCTGAGTTGTGCATCTGAACCGAGGATACTGTACTTAATATGGTGATCAGTGGCCTTGATAAAATCATCTTGAGAACTTTGATAGAACAGAAATGCAGTGTACCCATTTTTTTTTAAAAAAGAAACAATACTTTTTGCCTGGAGGTGTAGTGAGTGGGAGGGAAGATCCTTACAAATAAGTCATTGTTGTCCTTCTTTTGCATGCCAGAAGTTATTTTCTTCATCCACCTTTCACTCCTTTTCTTTCTTGAAACAGTATAAACAAGTAACTACATTAATAAAGTGATAATTCAAAACACAAACACACGCTTGTTCTTCCTCCTCTTCATGGAATTACTATAACATTCATAAACATGGGCAACTACTTATGCTGGGAAGTCAAGAAATAAGACCATTTATAAAAGAGGGCTTCCCCTCCTTGTGTATTCCGCGCAGTGGGCTAAAGGAGAATCTTGGCCCAGCCACATGAGCAGTCAGGAAAGCTGGCTATTCACTAAGCCAGGTGATGACAGTAATAAACCCAGCTGGTGACCGTAACTCTCTTCATGTAGCTGTCTGCTGGGCTGCTTCATGTCAGCAATTCCATTATGTGCTTCATTTTTTCAGGGATTTAGAAAGCTCAGCCACTGAGTAAAACGTGCTTGAGGCAATTTCAGGGGCAGAGGGTCTTGTAGTCAGGACAACCATTTGTATGAATTCCTAAAGGAATATTAAAAACAGGGTGACTTTCTTATGTTCAAAATGCAACCAAATCTGCAAGGCAGGCAGGCTGGTGTTGAAATAGGAATGGGTGGGGGAACTGAAAGGATAGTCTTGACAGCTTTCTGCTGGAAGTTCCTTCCATGCCTTTTGCCAACTGTGCCCATCTGCTTTCGCCCTTGTGACATGCCAGTTGTTCAAATTGGCACTCTTATAGCAAGGAGCAGACAGAAGGACTTCAGCTCCTTCCTTCTCTGCGGCCATATTTTGAGAACGATTGGCCATCTGGCACCACAATGAGGGGCTGGGGAGGATTCCTTGTGGGAAGAAGGTAAATGGCCTGGAGTTATACACAGCAATTGGCATGCCTTCCCTAGAAGTGGATATAACTTAAAATAACAGGTGTCTTGCTGGTCACTTAAAAGCTTCCCCACTAGTTTGGGAAACCCATAAACCTTGGATAGGTGATTTCAAGATTATGACAGTAGTACGGGATCTGAAGCCTGACCTATGTGAGAAAGTAAAGGGAGACACATTGACACTGGGGGGTTGTCCTAATCCACCAGCCCAAAGGAAGGCTTGTGGGAGTGGTTTGGTACAGGGATACCACAGAAGGATGTCAAAAATTCTAGAGTGATCAATTCTAGTGCCTTATTATGAGAACAAGACTTACAGCCTAGTCTGCAGAGCCCCACTGCCTTTACAGATGCAGGGCAAACACGGCAACAGTGATAGGTTGTCATGAATTGTCTGTACCCAACCAACATTTATACATTCTTTATACACAAAGCAGCATAAGTCAGTTTGGCCAGAACCTCCCATCAATTCACCTGGTAAGACCACAGGTGGCAACCACCCAAAGCTTAAAGATAGCTCCTCTCTCTGGGCCAAGAGCCCAGCATCCTGCAGAACAGAACAGCATCAAAACAAGCCACTTAGCATATATCAAAGCAAGTGAATATAAACATATATGAGGTCATTCTTGCAACAACAATCAATTAGTTTTGGGGTTATCTTGACTACCAAGCATAGGAACCAACTCCTAGTGGCCAAGGGGTCTTCAGCCCCCCCCTAAAATATTTGAGGCAGGACCCCCCCTTCCTAAGTTGATGGGCATTGCCATTCAAATGGTGTGTGTGGACCACATCATATGATTGGTTATGTGGGGTGGGGCTTACCTGGGCCCCTCCAATGTTTTAATCAAGTTGGCACCCCTGCTACCAAGATGGCATTTGCAGGCCTTCCATATGCCACTCACTTCACCTCCACAGGCAGGAGCACCCAGTGATGGCTGACAATTAGGCAGGTTCATATGAATGTATTTCCAGCTTATGGGAACAGCCTAAGGCTGCACTAAAATGCACACTCAAGCTTTTATGAATTATTAACTGATCGGCAACTTATTTCTAAGTATGCTCAGATGTTTATTTTAGCAGCTGGGGCTTGAAGACAAATACCATAACTGAATATTGAAAACTGAATAATTCAGGGGTGAACAGTTAGAGAAAGCACATTTAACTTGTCCCTGCTGGTCATTAAACTGTAAATAGTGCTCAGCACCATTTATCTTTGTTGTCTGGACATACAGCTCTGCTGCCTCCATGACTGAGGCTCTGGTGATTCTCTTACCTGCCTGGAAAACTGTTGGGCCCATTCCCGGGCAGTAGCCCAAAGCGGCCAAAGCTATGACTAGCGCATTACTGTGCATGCCAAGGGGCAGTTGGAATGGCATGAAGAGATGCCAGCCATGTGAGTGTAAATCCACAGCCCAGTGCACAGCTGCAGGAAGCAAAGGCTGTTTGGGCACAGCTGAGATTCTTTTCATAATGCTAAAGCTCTGCATGATTCCAGTGAAGAAGTTCAAGTTTAGAAAAGCAATAAGAAGTTGCCACCTTAAGCAAATTGTTTGGAAACCCTGACACAGAAGTTGTAGTGACATTCCAAACCGATCTGCAGTTTTGAATGTCTACACTGCACAGTTTGGTCTGTTGTAAGCAATTTGCAGTAGCTTGGTAGGCTATGGTGGAAGAAACCATGTTCTGCTCACACCTAACATGCCAAGAGCCAATTCTGAAGCACTGAAGCATGAGTCTCCATTCAGAGTTCTCAAAAATGTACAAAAACAAAGGATGTCAGGACAAATGTGTTGGGCTTAACCTCCAGGATGGACTTCACTGAATTATTGATTTTCTTCCTTTGTCATTTGAGATACTGGGCTGTCATCTGAAGGGCATTATCTGAGGTGTGGGGTGGAATCAGAGGGCTTCAGAGGAGAACAGTTGAATTATTTGCTATACTGACATTTCCCCCAATGTGCTTCATTTTATTGCTTTCTTTATATGCTGACTCTAAAAATGATTAACAGGCCTTCAGAAGAAAAAAAAAACATCTCTCAGCAGTCTCCAGAGTAAGATTTCCAACCTTCTCTTATGAATCACCTGTCAGACAGAAATTCAGCAGGGGAACATTTCCCTACCTATGCGCTGCTAGACAAAAACTAGTATCTTGAATTTCTACCCGTCTCACACCTCTCAAAAGCACAAACTCTTCCAGAAAAGAAAAGTGGCAAAGATGGACTGCTGATTATAGAATTCATCCTGTTAGCACTTTGCTGTTTGGGCAGCAGTCTGTAAATGAGATAGTCTAATTGTGATATGAGCCTTTTCACATAAGCTTGGCTGATTCCAGTAGTATTCCTTTAGGAATTTTAAGATAACCCTCTAGATCTATTACCGCCTTTTTGTAAAAGGCAATTGCAGAATCCACTTAAAGCTTTCCCACCCATCAACCCCTGCTAATACATTGTATCGAAACTGAACACTATTGGCATCCTTGATGGGTTTCTTTGGGCTGATGCCAACGACTACAGAAGTAATGGAACAGTCTGTCAACTGTTCAAGGTGATTCAGGGCAAGACAGATCACTGAGGGCAGGTTAGGTGTGCAGCATGACAACTTACTCTCCCTGCAAGACTCTTCCTAAATGAGAATCCTCAGCATCATTTCATGATTCATGATAAGTGCCCAGAGCAACATCATTCCGGCATAAATCTAACAGCTCATTCCCAGCTTTTCCAGTTGCATGAAAGAGCAAGGATGTGTGTGCTGGCAACTGCAATGCAGTCTGAAATCCTTATCTCTGCCCCTCTGCCAGCAACAAAAGGGCATTTGCCTGACAAGATTTACTGAGATTAACTCTATTAGCAATAAGCAGCTCCAGTCACTGGCCTTAATCCAAAAAGGCATATGCAGGCCAAGTTGTATGACCCACAGGGTAGCATTTATTGTTTCTATTGACATGTCCTCCAGGGCACAGCTGGGCTGAAAGTTTTTTCCATTGGTCTGGCAGCAGCCTGGAGAATCAGGTGGCCTACTGAATTTTTAAAATAAACCGCATCTTGTTATTCCAAGTAGCCAATGAGCAGTTAATACGGCCAGAGATTTTTATTCTTTAGCTTGTTAAAATGCTACTGTGTTGTGCATTACTTTAAATAAGGGCTAAGGTCAACACTTGTGCCACACATTTAAAACTCATGGCTTCCCCCAAAGAATTCTGGGAGCTGTTGTTTCCTGGGGGCACTGGAAACTGTAGCTCTGTCAGATGTAAACTACAGTTCCCAAGATTCTTTGGAGGAAGCAATGCACTTTAAACATATGGTGTGGATGGGACCAAAATCATATCAACTGATGATGATTTCTATACTGCATTGTATTTTTAAGAAACCAATCTCATAGTGGTTTACAACACATCAAAACATCAAATAAAACAACCCAGAATAAAACATTACTGAAGAAAGTCAAATATAAAGTATACTTTCAATGCAACGTAATCAATGGGAAACTAAAATATAATATTAAATATTTCAAAATAAAACATTACAAAGGAGGCCCACTGCACATTTAATGCAGCATGCAAAAAAACTTAAACATTTTAAAAGACATTACTAAAGGGAGTCAAGTAAAAAAAATGCAAATTTAAAACAGCATAATTAGCAAGAGAATGAAATGTTATTGTAAGCATAGCACATATCTGCTGCTCCTGCTAATCCTTCCAATGGTAGTTCATGGTGGACAGCAGCTGTGGAAGCACAGGCTCCATGACCTGGATCTGCACTAAGAGTCAGCCAAGATTGTCTCTGGCCTCTTCAGCAGCCTTAGCTTCTATAGCTGGAGTCAGTCAAGGGCCTGCCTTCCCAGGCTAGGTGGGAAAAGGCCAGCAAGGCAGGGAGCAGGTTTTCCAGGTCTCACAGCCAAGATGCTATGTGTCAGACTGCTATAGTAAATCCTACAAAGTTAAGGGGTCACAGAACAAACAAGGGATGCCTTTAACTTTATGGCTAAATGAACACTATGAAGGAAAGTAATATTAGAAACTGCTTTAAGATTTCATTATAATAAAGCAGTATATAACCTCTATGAAATAAAGAAATGTTGTGAAATATTGCAATGAACAGGTCCCAGGTTTTGAAACGAAACATCTGCTTCCAGGTATGTGTTGGAATAGATGCTATTTATTGGGTAGGGCGATGGATGCCTCAAAATTTGTCCATGGTCAGAACTGCAGTTGATTGGGCAGATTTCCACACAACTGTTTTTTCCCAAGCACGGGTTCCAGATTCAGAGTGACCCCGAAATACGAACGATTAACTGAAAGCAAGACAAGTTATGCCAGAAAAATGATAGTGAGTTCAACAATGAATCTGTTTGAATGCTTACTTGTTCCCTTCGCTGTGTTGAAGTAATGAGGAATCAGCCTTCCGTTCAGCAACTTTTAGAAAATGAAATCCTAACCCTGCTGCTGATTTATTCAGGGCCGTTTATCAGGCATTGACTGTTGCCCTCTCCAACTCATTTGTAATAGAGCTTGCCCTGTCCCCACCATTTTTGCTTCCTGTTCATACTCTGCTAGCTCCTTCCATCTCCATTCCAGGGCAGTGATGCTGTCAGGAAAGGACTATGGGATAGAAGTCCAGGGGTCCCCAATGCAGCTTGGCTGGCTAACTATATTAGGGCATGTTGAATTTTTCAACTTTCAGATTCCAAAAATAAGGGGTTCTGAGAAGTTGTAACCTGACTTGGGAATTCCAAAGATATTTTGTTTAAATTGACATAATTTAGTTTTGCTTGGTAAGTAAAATATGTTTAAAATTGCACAGAAATAATTAAAACTGATTGCAAAGTACTTGCAGTTATATTATATACTAATATTAATTTAGTATTACATGACATTTTCAGAAGCTAAAATTAAAATTCTTTGGTTTTCCGAAAGCAGTTTATGTGCCTCTTCATTGGGCATAGACTTACCACGATAAATGTTGTCCAGTCATAAAAGTAATAGCAGATTTGAGTTCTTCACACCCAAAAAAGTATTTTTAAGACTGCTCACTGAAGAAATTTGCAAAAAAAATAAGTTTTACTCCCTAGAGTGACATGCCCTATTACTATATATTGAAGTAAGTGAAATAATGCATAGCATAATCTAAAGAGGGGCCCCTTTTAGATCATTAACTCTAAGTGAATATTAAGTGTACTTACCGTAAGTACAGTAATGCACATTACCATCTTAGTAGCACCCCCACCCTGCAAGGCCATTAAGTCCGGATTCTAAAATTATCTAACTGCACCTCTGGCTCTAAGCTTCAGGGTAAAAGGGTTTGAGCAGAGAGCCCATCGTCCCTTTCCCCCTTCAGCTGATGCAGGCTATGCTTGGCTCCAACCTTTCTGCCTCAGCAACTTCTCTAAAAAGCCTAATCCAAATGCCGACTTAGCAGGGCTCTCAGGTTTACTGTACATCAACACCCCTGTGTTCTGCCACCTAGGGAGCCAATTTCTGCAGTTTCACGGAACAGAAAAACATCGCACACATTATGCAACTGTAATCAAAGCCAAAAACAGCATAATATTTGAGTATTTAGATCTGACAAACTCCATTCAGCATCAGCAAAGGCAGTCGTCGTCTGAGACCATGGCTGGGGTTAGGGTCAGTCTGCCTCCAGCAGCGATGCTAGTAAAAAAACAGAGTGCAAGGTCAGGAACATTTTTGCCAAGGCACAAACCCAGATAAGAAGACTCTGGAGGAACATCCTCTGCTCAGGAAGAACAGGCCAAGTTGCAGGAATAGGTACTGCTTTGGATTTGGTCATGCCCATCCAGTAGTGCAGCCAGCCTGATTGTCTACATATAGATCCATTAAAGAGGAGAGAGGCTTGAGATCCCCCAAACCCAGAGTAGTTCTGTCTGAAAGAGCCAAGAGGGTCAAAATAGCTTTTGAACTCTCTTTTCTTTTCTTTTCTTTTCTTTTCTTTTCTTTCTGTTAGCAACTTTTTTGGCCTAGGCAGAAGCAAAAAAACCTCACTCAGGTTCCGTTTAAGTTCTGATTACATTGGTGACTGCGGAGCATCAGGAATTGTACTCCGTATTTAAAAAAATAAAGTCTCTGTGGCATAGTGTCCCAAAGGCCAGTGAACTTGCAAATAATTTGATTTGTACCAGGGTAATTTTGTGTCCCACTTCACTACTCCAAAATGTGAGTGTAGTTTGGCATATACTTGGAGAACTAGTGTAGCGGTAGGGCTATGAATTAGGAATATTGGTATTGCCAGAAACTCACTAGGGCTGCATTCACGCAGCAGTTCATTCCGTCTCTCTAACTTTTAATTTCCGTATTATATGTGATCTTTCATTTGATGTAAAAGCCACTTTTAGAAATCTAAAAGAATCTAGCGGCAGTTAAGTTCCATGTTTAACACTCATTTCCATGTTTAACAGTTCCAGAAGTAATCCAATTATAACAACATGGCTGTTACGTTGTGTGAAAGCTCAAATATAATGCAGAAATTTACAATTAGGGAAATGGAAGAAATTGCCATGTGAATGCAACCAATAGCAGTGTCTGCCAATGTGGTACTGGCACACACCAATATGCCTACCAGTACCTCCTAAGATACCCATGCAAAGTCTGAGTAGGTATTCCCTCAAAAACCCACAATGCATTAGAGACTGCTTGCTCTTCTTGCTCACTTCATGTTTGCACTAGCTCAGCCACTCCTACAATGAGCACCCCCAACATGCCATAGCTGTCAACTTTTCCCTTTTCTTGCGAGGAACCCTATTCGGAATAAGGGAATTTCCCTTAAAAAAAAGGGAAACGTTGACAGCCATGCAACATGCCCATATTTCACTGAATGCCAGCATTAAGCACCCTCCCTGATGTTGTGAACAGAGGAGAAGTGCAAAGAGCTTCTCTCAGTGATTGAGTACAGAGACTGCTTATGCCAGCCTTTCTCCCAAATCAATGATTGTGGGGTGGGGAAATATACCTGCACCATTTTGTGGTTCTGTCTGATTTTGTGCTCCTTTAGATGTGGCAGCCATTTTGTGTTATGCTATGCCCCCCACAGCAGTCATTTTGTGACTGGCACCAAGAACACTCAAAATTCCAAATCTTGATTCTATGTGACTCAAAATAACTGGTGGCCCCTGTTCCCTTTCAGATTCAGTCCTCCCCTCCCCCATCTGCAACATGGGGGATAATAATACCAATAAACCATACAGGGGTGCTGGAAGAATTACATGTAGATAGTGTGTGTGAATTGCTTTGAACACTTGAAAGAACAGCACAATAATAATAAGTAATATCAATTTACCTCAGATAACTTTTAGGTTCCTAAAGTCTACTAAGGAAAATGAAGAATATACGTGTCTGCATATCTGCATTGCCAGCATAACCTCCCTACAAAGCCAGCATAGTGCTTTATGGTGCTGCATTAACAACGCAGCCCATATATATACTATTTCATCCCTTTTGTGGTACAGTACTTTAAAAAACTAGGTCAGAAGAACTAATGCTGCAAGTGCCCTGGCAAAACAGCTCACAGAATCAAAATATTAAGATCAATTTCTGACTCAAGGACAAGGCTAAAGCATGTAACCTGGTGATTGTACTGGAACAGCTAACAGCATTCCTATGCCAACAGCTGCCCTCACCCCTGTGGGACTCTAGCCACATGTAAGGTCATTAGCATTACATTTGCAGGGGCAAAAAGAGACAGGCTATATCCAACCCTATATGGCATTGCATGGGCCTTTGAGGCTTCTTAGTGATTGGGACAAATCCTGTCATTAGGCAGAATGAGGTGACTGCCTCAGGTGGAAGTTGCTGGGGAGCAGTGGGGGAAGCCTGCTGGCTTACCCTTCTGTTTTAAGGCAGAACTATGTGTATCACATGGCCTGTTTTGCACACCCATAACTAGCCTGCTGACCTCAGTCATCATCGAGGGCATGGCCCCATTATGAGAACTGAAATAAAATGCAACTGCTAGCCCAGTTAGCTTCTGAACATGGAATGGTGGCACACATCATCTTGTCCTTTACCACAAGCAGAAAAATGGTTTGGGCCAGCCTTCTTAGTAGTGTGAGGTTGAATATAAAAGACCAGATGGAGAGATTTAAGAATTAAAACACAGCAGGACTGAACTCTGTGCTGTATGAAGGTGCAACATCCAAAATTAGCAACTGAAATAATAAAGGGGGACTTGGTTACCTATATTGTGCTCCCTTACCCCTGCTGAAACAATACTGTAATGTTTCACTGCACTGATGTGTAACTGTTTTCGTTAGAAAGATCTACATGGCAGAAGTGGAATAAGATTGTCAAAGAATTTACTCATTTTTTGTTCACAGCTAAAAGAGAACAGGAACAGCTCCCCCACTCCATTCCATGCTCCTGACCACCACATAAAATTAGAAAAGATTTTGTCAGATTTCTAGTAATCTCCACCCTGCTGGACAACGTTCCTATGTCCATCTCAGGCCTGTCATCGGCTTGTCTTAGCAGCATTCCTTAGCAGGTGGCAGCTATTTCAGCTCTGGGGAAGGGAGAGGGGTAGGGAGGGAATACTGTCTATTTTCTGGTGCTGACAAAAAAAACTTTTATGCCAGCAATGGATCTCGAGCAGCAACTGCCATTATGGTGGCCAGAACAGCTGCTCCTGAGTAATGCTGAAGAAGCTTTCATCCTAACTTGAAGTGGACGAAGGCTGCAGCAAACATAAACCAATAATGTAGGATTAAATGGCCCTGACCTACAACCTGGTATGCTGTGTGAGCCAGAAATAAAACTGTTTACATAGCAACCAACATAATAGCAACAGCTAGGTAGGTGAGGCAAATCTTTCCTTTCCCCCACAATTACTCCAGTTTGTTTCTTAAAGGCTAGCTTGTTTACATTTGGTTTGGGTAGGGCTGTGTGTACTTTGCATATTTTTTAAAAAAAGACTCCTTGTGGGAAAGTTGGGGCTAAACAGGCATTTTCACCTTCTTAGACCTTGTGTCCCCAAGACAGTTCCCCAGGCCACTTCAAAACATCTCTGGTCTAGTTCAGACCAGTCATCAACAGACTAAGAGAGAGCTCATGGCTCAAACCCATTGAGACCTAATAAAAAAGTATTCACCTTCTCTTTGGGGCATGACTCAATTAAGATCTTGCAAGACACCGAGAACACTGGCTTGTGAAGAGCCAGTTAGAAACATCTACATGATCATAGCTTAAGTTCTGGGTCCATGGACGAATGAGCACTGGATAAGGCATGAAGAATGTCATACACCTGAACTGCATCACCACATCAGCATCCTGTATCTTAATAGTGAACTCATGCTCTGAAGGCCTGTATTTATACAGTGGTACCTCGGGTTAAGTACTTAATTCGTTCCAGAGGTCCGTACTTAACCTGAAACTGTTCTTAACCTGAAGCACCACTTTAGCTAATGGGGCCTCCTGCTGCTGCCGCGCCGCCGGAGCCCGATTTCTGTTCCCACCCTGAAGCAAAGTTCTTAACCTGAAGCACTATTTCTGGGTTAGCGGAGTCTGTAACCTGAAGCGTATATAACCTGAAGCGTATGTAACCTGAGGTACCACTGTATAGCCAAAATGGCATCAATCTGTGCACAAGAAGGGGGTATCAGCACGGTTGGGACAACCCAAATGTTTGCATAGGTCCAGTAACTTTAAAGAGGGGGAAAATGTAAGTGAGGGAATCTGGACAAGCCCATTGAATTCTAAGCATGTTCAGTGGCCAGAGAATGCTGAGTGTATCTTCTGGGAGTGGGAATGAAATGGGAATATCATAGAAGATGATGTGGCTGGCATTCTTTACACTGCTACATTTTGCTGCATGCCCCACTTTCTACTTATTAACACAGCATAATCTACAACATGCACCATGTATAATTTTATAAATTGGGAGTCTGGCACTATGAAATAGCAGATGGAAAATCCTCACACCTCTCAAAATTCTGTGCCAAGAAAAGCTGAGGATGATGGTGAATTGGAATATAGATGTTTGTTCTGCATAAAATTGCAGGGGACCCAAAGGGTAATCCAGCCCATCTCCCTGCAATTCAGGAATCTCAACTAGATCATACATGACAGATGGCTGTCCAACCTATGCTTTAAAACTTTCAAGGAAGGGGAGTCCACTGGCTCTCATGGGAGTGCATTCCACTATTGAACAGCTTGTACTGTCAGAAAGTTCTTCCTGCTGTTTAGTCGGAATTTCCTTTCTTAGAACTTGAATCCATTGGTTCAAGTCCTACCCTCTGGAGCAGGAGAAAATAAGCTTGCTGCATCCTCAGTGTGACAGCCCTTTAGATATTTGAAGATGCCTATCATATCTTCTCTAAATCTCCTATTTATAAGGTCAAACGTACCCAGTTCCCTCAACCATTCCTCATAAGGCTTGGTTTCCAGACCCATGATCATCTTGGTCACCCCCCTGCACACATTCTAGCTTGTCACTATCCTCCCTAAATTGTGGCACCCAGAGCTGGACAGTATTCTAGGTATGCTCTGCCCCAAGCAAAATAGAACAGTACTATTCACTTGATCTGGACACTATACTTGTGTTGTTGCACGCTAGAATAGCATTAGCTTTTTTCGTTGCTGCATCACACTGTTGACTCAGTTTCTACTGAACATACTGATGGACAATGAGAGCCTACAAAACAAATTGATTCCCCCGTCCCCCACTCCTCTTGACTGGAAATCCTATTTAGCATAATTTTTGGATTCCGAGATTTCACCAGATACTGCTAACAATGTAACAAGACTCTTAAAAGCCACAAGGATCTTTTATGGCTCTGATTTAAAAACAATCACAATCAAACTCCCAGGGTTCTGGATTCTGCATCCAGTTCCATCAAACCTTAATCTAAAACCACCAGTCATTCCAAGGGCACTTAAAAACAAGTTCTCATGTGAACTTCCTTAGGGAGAGCATTACGCAGCCACCACCAAAAAGATTGGTTTGAAGATCTGTTTCTTTAATAGTGAAATTGCTTTAAGAGCTCATGGAGCCTTATACAAGCTTAATGTCCCCGTTTCAAGCCAACAACTGGATCTGATTATCTGGACTATTCTGCTGCTCAGTGCTTTGCCCAGTTAACCATTAAGCAGGGCACAGATTTTACCTTTAAGTAGTAGTCACAGAATGAAGAAATTGAGAAACACAGAGATTCATTAGTTGATTAGGGAATTAATCTCAAACAATTCAAATACAGCATGACAACCACCTTATCCACTTCACAGCTAACAGCTAGCATCTGAACTGATATTCATACAACAAAAATATGCAACCTTCTGGTTTTAATTCAAATTTTTTTAAAAATTACCTTAAGCAACCAGGTTGTAATAACAATAATGAAAAAACCCACTTTGATTCTAAGACTCCACTTGTAAAAAATTCTGTTCTGACATACAGAACAAAAACGTTAAAGAACTTTTGGGGAAATATAACCAGTTTAGCTGTCGTGGTAGGTACAATTAGTACTGTTAGATCAGAATTTAGCCAGCCCTCCTTAGTAAATATGTGACTTGGGAGTTTTGTTCTCTGGCAAATGTGAATCAAAGGCTATTTTTTCAAAGCTGATGTTCTTGTAACTTTCTATCCCATGGAGCTGTGTCAGCAGGTCATGCTTGAACCCAGCTCTACCCTTCGGTTGCTAGAAACAGAGTAGGGAAATGGAAACATTTGTGAATAAGCATATCATCACAGGGAGAAAAGTATGGACACACACACCCAATCCATTGGTATTGTGCTATTTCACCAATTGGTCTCATCTGTCTCACACCGAGAGGAATGAAGGACTTGGAGCCATGCACTGCTTGCATTGGAATGACCCCAGTCACATTAAATTGGATCTCCATGGCAGCTTAACTCTCTACAATTGTCACTGCCAAAAACATGAAACACCACCAGCTGGCTGAGCGATGAATACTGCCACTATTCAATCCTTCCTTTCTCTGACACTTCTAAAGCAAATAGGACTCTGTCTTTTTTATGTCTCATACACAATAAAACCAAGAAATCTGGTTTAATCTTAATCATTTTGACACCCAAGGTGTCATCTGAAATAAAGCTCAGCTGCTACCTAGCATGCATGTAATTCCGATTCTATAGGACACTAAACACATGTGATCATATGAAAAGCAATGACATAATATTCTGCTTTCACTTCTACACCCCTAGGGATGAAATTAAAGAAACACTCACTGGAACTGGCCCCAGACACAGATGTTTCTCATCCATAAAACACCCAACCTGGGCCTATTAAATTTATACAGGATTTATCATAATCTAGACAATAAAGTGGCTTAAAAATGCATTTATAAATATCATATAATAAAAAGTACAAGCTCGGCTGGACCTGAAAGGCATTGGCATACATATGCCCTTTCTTAATAAACTGGCATAAAGAATATGGGTGTTTTCTTCAGTGCATGCACTAAATTAGCAAATTCAATTTGAGCATGCCTTTTTGCAGAAATATACAAGAAAAACCACCCTACCCAGATCTGACTCAGCTCTTTCATCTCTCCCTCATGCAGAATGTTCCTGTGTGCACACTCTCTGATAAAAACATTGACTCTCTGAAGATACTGCAAATACTACGTCAGAAAAAAGTTAAAGGGAAAATAGATTACTTTTCCTTCTTTCTCCTTTTGCAAAATTAACTGCCTCTGGTAGTCATGGGGCAGCAATACAAAGTATTGAACAGCTATGCCTTGAGCCCTGAAAATCTTATCTTGCATCCTCTGACTCCAGAAAATCTCACCAGGCAGTACTAACCTTTAAAAAAAAAAAAAAATCTAGCTTCACAATTTACAAAAATTAAATGCATGTTTCAGTTAAAGAAATTCTCAGAATATAAAGTCCTGCTGCCTGTTCAAAATTCCAGGTTTTTTTCTGAGCTCATGCCAAAATCCACATAGACATCCTCTTACTGCTGAATCTTGTATAAAACATGTATGGTTGAGAGACATTGGGCCTCATGAATCTCAACCTGTTTAACTGAAGTGACCTGACTTGGTAATAGGTCACATACTCTGCATACAGAGATTTTCAGACTCAATTCCAGACATCTCCAAGTAGGGCCATCTCCAAGTCTCCCCTGACACTGGAGAACTGGTGGCGGTCACTGTATTGTAGGCAGTAATTCAGTAGATGTACCTCTGGTCTGACTCACTGCAAGGCATCTTCCTTCTTTCCTGTGTGCTGTTAAACTGTCAAGGCACCTTGGGGATTCTGGTTCTGTAAATGAGCTAAGCATTTTTAAAAGGGAATTCTTGGGACTGTTGCAGAACTGCAGTTTCCAGGTTCCTTAGGGGCTAACGGAATATCATACGGAATCATACATCACTAAACCCCAACACTTTAAGCAAGCGTTCTACTGCTTTGCAGCAGCAGGAGTGAGTGCCTAACTAACTGATGCCTCGCTACATCAAACTACTCCCACCACTCCACCCCAGCATTCCAATGAGTGTTTGCAAGGGCAAACACATGTTTGGGAAGCCTTCTAGGGTGGGGAAGCAGTTTGAGGAGGCAGAGGCATTGATGGAGGGGCAGAGCTGAGCCTTCTGTCTTTTACATTGGGCCCCAAATCTCCTGCCCCTTTCCTTATCTTTTTTAAAAGTTAAAAACAACAACAACAATAATTTGCTTACAGGGTGGCTGGGCGCTCTGCAAAGTACACTGTTGGTGAGATCCCAGCCACACATTATTTTATAATTGCCCAAAGGCATTTATAAATATAAATTAGCATACATACAGTTGCTGTACCTTGGCACCATAGCCCTGTGCCCTGAGTCCTTTAAATACCTAGCAAATACCTGCCAATTCAGAGTGATGGAGCAGAACACAGGGGAAGAGTTAAACATACAACCCTTTTGCTGCCGCTTCTTTTCCAGCATCTGGATTTTGGGATGTCAGCATCTGTGGGGCAGATGTTTGTTACAGCTGCCGCCTAGACTCAATTGTGGAGAAAGCCAGTTTTAAATTTTTCTCTAACTCTCAGAATTCCCTTTGCTGATGGATGTTTCTAAAAGAACACATTGACTGTTACAGCTGTCCTTAAGATTTTCATTTTTTTAAAAAGAAAGCGAAATAAATAAAACAAAGGCACAGTGTCATTGCTTCCTTGTTCACCTCATAGTTACCCAGCAACCAATGATTCAAACGCAACTCTAAAGTTCTTAGGTGTGGAAGGCCACAAGGCTCTTGCCAACAGAAATAATCAAGGCCTGAGATGAGCCCATTTTTCTTGACACACTGAGGGCTGTTATGTCCCAGATGGGGGTTGACTCAGCTGGGAAATGCCTTCGGCTGAGCGCATGCTGTGCCTGCTTCCTCAGTCGAGCTGGTTGCTATTGCTAGCATAGCTGTAACTACACCAGAGCTCAAGTGTACACTTATTTATAACGCTGACAGAGAGAAGAACTTTCTTGAGGATGTGATGACACCTCATTATAGATAATGTGCCAGCTAAATGGCTTAGCACTTGACCCTCCTCCTTCCCCCCCCCAAAAAAATACTTTGAATGAAGAGATCCTAAGCACTTGAGACTTCTTTGACCAGCTGCCTCCCCCACACTTACAATGTGGCATTTAGTCTTGGGAGAAACATCCCATTTGAAGAAAAAGGACCTTTCTCCCCTAAGATTGATCATTGAGGCCGGCATTGAAGTTGAGAAGGTGAGGCTATGGGTTGGATCCAAATGCATCCCACAGGGCCAAAGCTTACCCACCCACGAGCTAGATAAACAATTCTTTAAGGGGCTACTAAATCTGACCACTTGTCCATGTAATCCAGAACAGTCTACTCTGACTGGAGGCAGCTCAGGTAAGCGTTCTCTCCTAGCTCTGCTGCTTGGAAATAATCTTTCAATTATACCCCAGTAAAGATACCAAAGACAAAACTGACAAATATATATATAAGACACTTTGCTATGAAGAGCTTACTAAGTTTTAAATATATTTCAGTCATTTCTATCCTGATTTGGTACACCAAAATATACTCAAGGTGACTCCCAATAAAACAAATACATATTAGACAGTGGAACAGGGATTAAATCAAGACAAATTGAATATACTTTTGTTATAAAGATGTGCTCACCCAGAATTGTTTTAATTGGCGTTTTGCACAGAAGATCTCTTTGCAGCAGGAATACATTGAAAATCCTTTTGAATGGTCAGAGAAGCAACACTGGGGAGCAAAAGGTACCTCCTCCTGGAAGTATCCATGCTCCCAGTTTTCTGCATTAGCATCAAGTGGATTTGAACAAATAGATACCACCAGTGATTTTCTTCTAGAAAAAAGGTACAGGTATTGCATACCCTTGAGTACCCCGATGGAAAAAACACTGGATACCACAATGAGCCCAATACATTGCCTGTATGGGGCCTTTTACCATAACCATATAGGATTAGTAAAAACACATGATCCCTCCTAAAACATTCTGAGTAGCTGTACCCATAGTGTTACTACAATGGCAAAGGGATGCATTCTTCAAAATTTAGCAATGGAATGTATGATTAGCTCCAATTCCCACATGAATTTTTGGAAGTCCACACTAGAGTTGCTGTAAAATACAGAAAAGTGTATTTTATAGTAGCTCTATGTACCCAATTTTTCAATAGAAACAGAATTAACCCACTCTTCATATGTGCCAGTACTAAGGCAGGAAGCACAAGCAAGTCATGCTTCCTCTTCCATGCTTCTCGAATCATATGAGGTGGTGAGAGCTTCATAACTTTCACCATAGGACAGATGCATAGATACAAGAGCACCTTATCCATCTCCCCATAATCCTACCTTCACCCTGGAAGCACAGGGTAGTATTCATTAAAATCCTACTCGGAATAGAACTACTG